ATAGTCTTTGATTTCATTGTTGCTTCATGATGAAGTGTATACCAAAATGGAATAAGTGAATAGCGCATAATTAATGCTTGTTTCATTATTTGTTGAGTTTCCCATGAAAATGATGCTGGATCTTGATCCTTAAGTAGTTTTATTAAATTATTAATAAATAGAAAATGTAAAATATGAAAACAAAACATTTTACTCTTTGCCCAAGAGCATTATGGTTTCTCATAAATGGATAAAAAGCACCTAATTGCATCCATCTTGTACATAATTCTTCTGTAGTATCCAATATAAAACCACAAATATCAGCACCAACATGTGTTATACCAAACATATTAAAACTTAAAATAGCTAAAGAGAAAATTTTTATGAGAAAAAAACAAAAGAATAGTTTTAACATGATAAATGGTCGACCTAAAGGAAAAATATCGAGGATTTCAATTAACAAGACACTTTATTTTTGATATAAGGGGTGTGGCTGTGGGCGTGGACTCTAGTCTTATCTTCGTCTACATTTTTACTCTTCTATATTTATGTATTCGACATATTCCCTCGAGATCTTTCTACGGTCAATTCTTAACATAGCTTCAAATGTGAGTAAGCTAAACTTCTTGTAGGCATTGATTTATGTATTACTATGATTGATTGTAGAAAAGCTAACAGAAAAAATATTGAAACTATAAATATATTGGAAAAAGTTATGTCTCCGGAGTGGATATGAGCGGAGGTAAAGAAAAGAGTCAAACCTACATCCATCCATACTCACATCAAAATAATTTTCAAGACAATTGAAAGTTTTTTTCAAAGATATTGATTATGTGTTAGAAAATCTAAGTGAATAAAATATAGATGAAATAATTACAAGATAAAGATGTTCTATTTTTTTCTGAAATCCATAGAAATTAGTTTATAGAATAATGTGAGAAAAGAAAACATATGAACAATCATTCGGTCGTTGAACATAGGAAATTAAAAGTTTTGACTCTAGGGTAGACTCAATAATCTTTATAAGATTCTCACCGAGAAGTTTAATAATGCAGAGAAGAAGAGGTGCTTCTTTTTATTCTATTCGAATGAAATATAGTTAGTATTTCTTATTTTCAGCTGACATTTTAGGCTGTGCAAAGTTTGTACGGTTCAAAAAAGAAGTCACAAGTTGTGTGAAATGATTATGCACTGTAAGAAATACACCAACATGTATTTTCATTTAATTTCGACGATTGAAAGAAGAATGTTAGATCTACTTTGTTGATAAGAATTTCAATGTACTCTCATAAATCTATCAATCTAATGTAACGAGAAACAAATGTTGAAGTCTATCCAAGTCTCGTGACACCGTCACCTATGTGTCGTGGATGCATGATTAGTTATTATCACGTGTAAAATCAAACTATATTTTCTTATACTTATTTGTCGAAATTTTTTATCACAAATTTATTTTTTTAATATTCAACAAACCTGGAATTGAGAAATACATATCATCAAATGTAGCTTGATTGTCACCGGTCCAATGTGCAGTAAATTGACCTGAACCAGCAAATGTTGAACGAGCTAAAACAAATGGTCGTTTTTTACGAATAGTTTTCAATGCTCTACAAAATAATTATTTTATTTATACATTAAAATTATATATGTATGAAAAGATCTTTACTGATTAGTTGCTTTTGCTTCAAAATAACCATACATATTATGTAAATTATAATGTGATGACAAGTAATGTTGAGCAGATGGACATAAAGTTTTCGCACTTAAAGCATCACCATGTACGTCTATAAATATATCTTTATGCATCTTTTTAACAACAAAATAAAATACATACGTGGAACAAATGGTGGATTATCCAATGTATTATCAGTGCAACCATCAGTTGATCCATCTACAAAACTAGATGGTTCATTCATATCCTATATAGAAAAATACAGTTGCAAAAAAATAATTAGACATAAGTATTAACAATAATTCTTACAATCCACATTCCATCAAATGGAACTACGTCATGAAAAGTTTCAGTTACATTCGTCCACCATTCAACTGTATTCGGATTTGTAAAATCAGGAAATGCAGTTTTTCCAGGCCAAACCTTTTAGAAAGTGTCATGATCAAGATCAATATCAACTATAGAAATTTAATCATTACTTTTCCTGTGATAAGCTCAGTTGAATTAAATTTTCTCATAAATATACCTCGTTTAACTCCATCATCATATGGAAAATAGGTACCAGCTGTTTGAGTTGAACTAATACCCGGATCGATAATATTAACGTAATGTATACCATCAGCTTGTAATGCACGAACAAATTCAGGTAGACCATGAAAATTTTTCTCATCATAGGTAAAGTCAAGTAAAGATGACATGGCATCAATATCTGTCCATTGAACATCAAGTGGAAAATCGGCTTTTTGCATTCTCTGAAGAATAAAATTCAAGAATGTAAAGTTTTCATTTTTTCTTTTTTGAAAAGAATTTACTTCAAGAGATGCTACTATGTTTTCAATCTTATTATATCCCCAACGGCAAAGGTGAAATCCAAGTGACCAAAATGGTGGCATCATAGGTTTCTAAAACAATAAAATAAAACATAAGATCATCAACTTTTTTTTGTCCACTTACTCCAATGATATCCCAATATTGTTCGATAACATTTTGCACAGTTGGCCCTGTAAAGATGTATAAATCAATAATACCACCAATAGTTGTATAAGTTAAAGCTGGTAATGGTTGAAGATCAATATCCATTGCATTTGAATTAAGAAAAAATTGTCCATGAACATTTGTTTGATTATCTGATGTTCGTTCAAGATTGATATGAAATGGATGAACACCTAAAACAACTTTCATTTTAATATCATACAAGAATAAAAAAACAAGAAAGATTCTAAACCATAAAGGTTAATAAGTTGCATTGGTGGAAAATCTCTTGTGTAAAATGTTAATCTTTTCCATTCTTGTGTTATATTAATTAATAATGGTTGTTGATGTTCACCGAAACCATACAACAATGGACTTGATAGTCGAGTAGAAAATTTAATAAACTGATCAGCAAAGATAAGTGGTGATACACTTGAATCAAATCTAAGAGAAGCAAACTAATATAAAACCGAACGAGAAGTCGATATTTGTTCTTATCAGATATATCCATGATGACACTGCAGTCACTGCAATGGCGCGCAGAAGTAGATTCTTTTTTAGGGAAATTGTAAAGTAACATGAAATTGTACTCGATTTAAATATCTACAAGTCCAAAAGTCAGAATCCTGATGAATCTGATGAATTCGAGCTAACTGGAATAATTTAGCAAAGTGACAGAAAGTGTAATAGCCTTGTATCTTCTATATGCCGGTAGATTTCCAACCTCCATGGGTATCTATGATTCTTATGAAGAAATGTTTAAAAGTAGTCCAATAGCTCGAGTGTGATTGGGTGATGCTTAAATAATCATTAAAATATCATCAGTATTTGTTGATACTTAGGTCAAAATGTTGCTTTTTTTGTTGTAAGTAATAATTATCATTTTCATTCTTAAGCTATGCATAGCAAATATGAAGTTTAGAGAATATTTTCACTGTTATTCAAACTTACAAGATAGCACCAGTTGATTTTCGTGTAACAAATATAGCAAACGGTTTTTGACTGAGTTTAACTTCATAATCAGTAATATTAGCTTTCTTTTCTACTATCGGTACTTGTATTGGAACTTCATAACGTTCATTAACTGAATCGTAGATTCGAATACGAAACCGTTGTTCAGTTTCATAGATAAGATCAACTGTTAAATCAAGAATATCATGTGGCATATATGTTGTTTGTATTTTAAGAATTCGAATTCGTTGACCGAAATCTGTTATTTCATTTGATGTTATTTCATAGTTTGGAAAATCTTTTGGATAATAACAAAATGGTACACTAACAAAACCGAAACCAATCGATGGTTTCTCGGTATAGTTTGCTGGTTCAATTGGTAAACGCCAACAACAATTTCGTGCAAGACATTTTTCTTTTGTTGGATCCTTTTCTGAATAACAATCAAATCGAGCTACATTTGAAATGTGGTCACATTGTTGTGCATTCGAGGAATATACGAAAAAAAGAATTGTAATACTTATTACAAAAGTTAAGTATTTCATTTGATCAAAGACTAGAAATATCTACAATGAAAATAAAATTATCTTTCTTGTATTGCAAAGTTTTTCAAGAAGATACACATATTAAGGAGAATAGTCAAACTGATGACTGGATCGCATCACAGGAGAAGGAAGAGCACGGGAAGTGTGTGCGAGAGACGAAAAAAAGAACTCAAAGAATGTATATTCCAAAATAAGTTCTTCACTGTGTAACTGTCAATCATTTCCTAATTGAATTTTATACAGTATTAATTCGATAGATTTTCTTGAAAAGGACATAAAAAAAAATACCGATAATCCCATATATATGTATTGGCTTTTTAGTTAGGTTGACAAAAGGTCAGGTCGAAATGCTTAGTATTCCTGCGTAGCATCTAATAATAGTTTATAAAATGAACAGCATCTGATTTTTTTTTGTTTTGAAGGAATATCTTCTAAGAAATATTTAATGTTTCAATAGAAATCAAAATCTTTTCAACAAGTTTCATTTCATTGATTTGAAAAGTTCTATTGAGAAAAAAAACTATCTAAATTAACTGTGATAAAGAGATAGGTTTTTTTTCTAATTTAAACAAATATTACTCGATGATTAACTGTTCAAAAACGAATATTTATTGCATTGTTATTGTTAATATCAATAGATTCATTCGATATTAATTATACTAAAAATAATGATTTGATCAAAATATGTTCGAAAATTTTGTACAAAATTTCGAAAGAAAATATTAAAAAAGAACTATAAAAAGAATCAATCAAAGAAAAAAAATACTTCAATCATATTTTGAAAGACATGGTTTAAGAACTAGAATGAAATGAAAGCACATACATAACAAAAATATCCGAAGAATGATTGCTATTTTTGTTTTAATTTCTATCACATATCATTAATTCGAAGTTGACCATTGAATAGTTTGACTAGATTGAGCTAACATGTCGATATTAAGACCATGAATAAGTAAAACCTATTTTAATAGCATAATAATATTTTGGAATTTTCTTTTTTCAAATTTATTTAATTACATACTTGATCAAGAAAATTGTAAAGATAATCAAAATAAGATTTCCCATTCACAGTTACACTGGTCACAGACTTGGTTACTCCCAAAACTTTCACTAGATCCAAACGCATTGGAGACTCTTTATAGTTTGTAACGAGAGCATTGATTGTTAAAGTATTCTACAAATTATTAGATAATGTAATTTATTTAGAAAAAAACTTGTTGTCACACCCTCTTTGAGATTGAGATATGGAACTTACACAAATGTTCTTTAGCCTCATTATATTAATAAAAAAGTATATACAGTGGAAAGTCTTTCGCAGATTATAGTTATCTGTTCAAGATATCGATTGCCAGAGAAGCGATCTGTTTTATTCATTTTTGTATTTCGAACAGAAATTTTTTTTTCTATTTTTCACTGCCGCTCTATTTTTTGTTTGCCTTGTGGCTATTTGATCATTATTGTTTTTCTTATTAGTCTAACGTTTGATTTAACTGGCAAATAAGTCTGTTGTACATCTCCATCATATCTACAGCAGATATCTATAATCTATTATATATCTTGATAAGTTTCGGAACACTAATATTGATTATTTCTGTAAGTTATAACTTCATCAATTCACGTCTTTTTTATACTGACCATAGGATGACTGTAGCAAATCAATGTATCATTACCCATCATCCTTGACATCTTGAATATGAATTTTTAACATGCGCAAACCTATTCCAGCTATTGAATATTCGAGAAAGACTTTAGAACGTTCTAAAATAGTCTAAGTCTTGTCGTTAATATCGTTCAGTACATTTTTCTGTTGTTAGGGAACTTTGTGAAAAGAACCTGAAGCCTGTTGCCCTCGGTGGCAAAGATCTATAATCAGGAGGTGAAAGCCATAAAACTGCGACTTGAACCTTACACTCACTATTTTCTTTAACAATATATGTAATTTCCAGAAATTAAATCATTTTTAATTGTCATTAATTCTTTACTTACCGAAGTCGTTAGACTAAATTCAAAATAATTATATATCTTTGTTTCAATTGAATCTACATTGAGAAAAAGAAAATAACAATTATGAATAGAAGAATTGATAAGACAGACAAAGAACATACTTATTGAATCTCCATCATCCCAAAAAAGATTTCCACTAGCACTACCCGATTGTGATTGAGCAACAAGTAATACAAATGGATTTCCACGTCCAAGAACTAAATTAGCACCTGGTGTTTGCATGGGAATAATAAAACCACCACGAACATGAACATTTATTTTCGAAAGTGGTGCATTTAAATCAGTAAACTGTCCGACTGTTTTAACTCTTCCACCCGATTGAAATTCATACCAAACATCTGCTGGAATGTAAGCATGAACAGTTACGGATTCCTAGGAACGAACAAATTAACTATATCTCCTTTATAAGTTTAATATATTCTTTTTTACAGAAATCAAATTTGGTGAAACAAGAATAGCACGACCGACTAAGAATTGCTCATCAATATCATAAGTATTTGCATCATTTGGATATCTAAATTCAAAAATGAATTTCTTTATATATAATTATTCAAAATTTATGTACTCGAAGAAAAGTGGTTGTACAATAGTTTTTGATTTCATTGCTGCTTCATGATGAAGTGTATACCAAAATGGAATAAGTGAATAGCGCATAATTAATGCTTGTTTCATTATTTGTTGAGCTTCCCATGAAAATGATGCTGGGTCTTGATCCTAGTGTTTGTTAAATAATAATGAATAGAAAATGTATAATATGAAAAAAAAAATTTACTTTTTCTTCAAAATCATTATAATTTCTCATAAATGGATAAAAAGCACCAAGCTGCATCCATCTTGTACATAATTCTTCAGTCGTATCAAGTCCAAATCCACAAATATCAGCACCAACATGTGTTATACCAAACATATTAAAACTAAGAATAGCTAAATAAGGCATCATAGAATTTAAATCACAAAAAGACAAGTTAATATTGAAAAAATTATAATGTAGTATGATTCTACTTTATTATAAATGATTACACAAACCTGGAATGGAATAGTACATATCTTTAAATGTTGATCGATTATCACCCGTCCAATGTGCAGCGAATTGACCAGAACCAGCGAATGTTGAACGAGACAAAACAAATGGTCGTTTTTTACGAATACTCTTCAGTGCTCTATTAAATATTTTGTATAAAAATCTTCATTTATGTTATATAAATATAAGAAAAGATTCTCACGCATTTGTTACTTGTGCTTCAAAATAACCATACATACTATGTAAATTATAATGTTGTGATAAGTAATGTTGAGAAGATGGACATAATGATTTTGAACTAAGACTATTACCGAGTATATCTATAGATATTAGTTTGATATATTTCTTAAAAATTGTATGAAAAATCTCATACGAGGAACATATGGTGGATTATCCAAATAGTTAGTTGTACATCCATCACTTGATCCATCTATAAAACTGGATGGTTCATTCATATTCTATATAGAAAAGTAATTAAAAAAAAAAACAATCAAATAATATGAAGAACAATCTTTACAATCAATATTCCATCAAATGGAATTTTCTCATGAAAAGCTGCAGCTATATTTGTCCACCATTCAAGTATATCTGTATTTGTATAATCAGGATATACTGTTATACCGGGCCAACTCTATAAAAAATAAAATTGACATCATTAAGTTTTTCTTTCAGTCTTACTTTTCCCGAGATTGGTTCAGAAGAATTAAATTGCTTGACAAAAATATCTCGTTTCATTCCATCATCATAGGGAAAATAAGAACCAGCTGGTTGAGTTGAACTAATACCTGCATCAATAGCATTCACATAATGTTTTCCATCAGATTGTAATCCATTGACAAGTTCAGGTAAACCATGAAAATTTACATCATCATATGTAAAATCAAGATTATATAACATTGTATCAGTATCTGTCCATTGAACATCATATGGAAAATCTGCGTCATGCATTCTCTATATAAAACAAAAATGAAAGACGTTTTTTTTTTCGTTTTATCATTTAAGAATTCTTACTTGAATAGTTCCCAACAAATTGTTAATGTTATTATATCCATAACGACCAAGATGAAATCCAAGTGACCAATAAGGGGGCATCATAGGTTTCTAAAACAATGAAATAAAACATAACATCATCAACTTTTTTTTTTTTGTCCTCTTACTCCAATGATATCCCAATATTGTTCGATAACATTTTGCACAGTTGGTCCTGTAAAGATGTATAAATCAATAATACCACCAATAGTTGTATAAGTTAAAGCTGGTAATGGTTGAAGATCAATATCCATTGCATTTGAATTAAGAAAAAATTGTCCATGAACATTTGTTTNAATGGGGTAAATGTATAACGGCCTAGTAGGTCTCGGTAAAACAGCTGTAGATTTGGTATCCGACAAGATATCTGAGATTAGAAAACGACAAACGAAAGAAAAATGTTTTGGCTACATCTTTTGTGAAGAAATTTTTTTTCTATCGCCAATATCAACGGAGATATTAAGTGTGCAAGTGAAAAATTTGAAAAAGTCTATACATTCGCCCCGCTAGGCTCTATACAGAACGAGCATTTCTGAATTCGATTTGCAATCGATAGTTTGATGAATGAATAATACTTTCGAAGAGTAATTAATCATCTTTGAAGATGTGAAATAAAAGAAAAATTTCACTTTTGAACGAGAAGGCGGTACATTATCAAATGTTCTTGTAATAGAGATATAGAGAAAAGAATAAATAAAAGAATAGATAAATGAAGGAATTGAGGAAAGGGGAATAAGGGAACAGAGGAATAGTGGTGGAATTGGGAAGGAATATAGGAATAGTGGAATGAAGGAACGACGACCGACCGACCGGAATATATTTTGAAGCGCTCCCTTAGTTATAGACAAGTAAATGAATGATAATATATTTAACATGTTCTTCTTGAATTGAATAAAAGTTGTAAGTAATAAAAATCGATTAAAACATTTACTCTTATTATTTAACGATAATTTACTATCAATTTAGATTCATTAACAATGAATGCAAAATGTGACTATACAAAAATTATAAATTGATTGCTCCTTTGCTATATTCAAGTAATTAACAGATACTTCATCAATATAAATCTTAAGTAAATAAGAAATTTTCGTTAAATCAAAGCACATCTAATCCGCAATTGTCTTCGAAGTTAATCCAGTGAAAAACAATATGCTGATTTTAACTAAATTCTTTATTCTTTTTTCATTCGAGATTTTTATAGAAAAGTATTTTTTTTAAAAAGTCATGAATATTAAAATACATGCAATTCAAAAAATAGCTCCACACATCAAAACAAGTTTTTAAAAAATTGTTAGTAATACTCAACGTTTTTCTAGATTAATATTATTGTTACAATTAATAATTTCATTGCTAATAATTCTGATATATAATTGTTTATCATTTCTAATTGAAAAAAGTACTTTTATGTCTTTTAATTGTTGGGCTCAGATATAGCACCAGTCGTACTATTGACATTCTCTTTAGTATTATCATTCTTCGTTTCGGAAGAATGAATTTTTTGATTTGATGGTGCATTTCGTCGGAATATATTTTGCTTATGATAGTTATATGGTAAAGTATAGAAATAAGAATGTGGGTGTTGTTTTTTAAATCTTTTAATTTCATTTTGATACAATGCTTGCATATGTTGATCATAAGTTATTGGTTTACGAGTTTCTGAAGAATCTTTGTTTTGAGTAGTTGCTGATAAATTATCAGTTTTGGAATCAGCTGAGGTAGCTACAGGTCGAAATGATGGTGAGTTGGTATTTTCTTGTTCTAATATTGGTGCACTTCGCGGTAAATTTTCATTTTGATTATAAGCAAGAACTAACTGCTGCATGACAGATGCAATATATCGTTCAGGTTCACTTAAATTTGAATATTCATCAATGCTAGGTAGAGAAAATAACCGATGACATGTAGAAGATTGTGGCTTGCATATGTTTCCTCTGAAAAACAAATTGATATAAAGTGAAGAAAAAACGTTTAACAAAGTTTTTATTTTTTTAGAGTCTTCTTCAAGGACAACTGATGCAAGAAAGTCAAATAGTAATTTCGATTATTTTTAGAGTGAACTATACAAATTAAGATATGAACAATTTTGAGAGCATTGATATTTTAGTTTTTTATTTCATAAAATCATATTTTCCAATGAGAAAAAGATTAGCCGTTTTTAGTTTTTAATTAATTTTTTTTCGTTATTCAACAATGACGAAACCTTGTTTCATGCACTGTTCGACGCAGAATTTAACGAGATATATTTTAGTGCACACTACTCATTCTGATATAAAAATATAAATTAATCGAATTTCGCTTTATATTCAACTTTCAGGTAACTAATTAGAAAGAACATTAAGAAATGAACAAAATTATACAATTATTATTTCAAAATAGATCATCTTAATGAGATTTTCATAGTATTTTTAGTTTTAATTGATCATAATGCTCATTACTTATTAAAAATTTAAATTATAACACGAAGATTTATATCTGAAAAACTAGGGTGTAATGAAGAGCACTATCTGTTTTTTCAAATCGTCCGTTTCGAGCAATATTTTGTGACAATTTTATAGTGTCCTAAGGTTTAAGAAATGATTCAGGTCATCACTTTCAGCCATTTTTTGTATTCCAGGTCAATGATTTCGGTGCCTGAACCCATAGATTTTAGACAGATATTCGCAAGAAAGACTCCGTTTCCAGACAGAAAATGGTAGAAAGTTGAAAATAGGAATCCAGTGAACATATCCAGTTGCTGACTCTGTTCGGTTCCCGTCGAAACTAGATAAATCTGGTCACTGAATCCCTACTTCGAAACTTCTACAATTCATTAATTCAAATCGGGATAAATAGTTTATACCAGCATGTAACCTGTTAATTTCTGTGCTAAACGGTGCATAAAAAGAGCTTCCAGTTATCATTGAATAACGAAAAAAAATTGGCTAAACACTAAAAACGTGCTAAACGTTTTTCCTTCATTGTTTAGTCGTCATTCAATTATGAAATTATGGCATGATCAAAGTAATTTAAAGGAAATGTTTTTGAATTTGATGGATAAATTTTCTGCTAAAAATTTTTAAATAGAATATGATAGCTTACTTTAATCTTGATCTTGTTGATGTCTCAGAATGTGAAACATTTTCAGGCTTTGAGTTTTGATTGGCAGTTATTGGTTCGAATAATTGCCCATCAGGTGGTTGATATTGTGGTAAATATGGCAATTCTAATCGGTCTTTTAGACATTTTTTTAGCTCAAATAGATGAGAATTATGAATAATTGTATAAGCATGATACCAACGAGTACGTGCGATTTTCTTTCGTCTTTTTCTTTTCTTGTCTTCTTCCGTTGTAGGGCTTTGTTTTGTTTCTATTTGTTCCGATAATTGCCCATTTGAATGGCGAGTTATTAATGGAATTAATTCCTTAATTGAATGAGAACGATCAGAAATTCCTATTTGTGTTCTATTATTTATTCTTTCAACATCATCATTTGTATTACTTTCATGCCTTATTGAGGAGGAACTCTTGGATTGTTTTGAAATAAGTTTTGATGAACTGTCTTTAGCGTCATTAGATGATGTTGTTCGTAAATGGTTTAAATTATTTTTATATGATTGTTGAGAATTAAATGATGAAGGATTGTTAGTTGTTACACGAACAGTAGCACCTTCTTCTTTTGTTAGAATTGTGTCTTGGTGATATTTCTCTGTAGGTTTCTCAGATTTTGTATTTTCAGTAGTATTAGATTTTTTTAATACTATTCGATTAGTGGTATTAAATGGTAATGAAGTTGCATCTTGTTGATATTTAGATGATCGTGCAGTACTAACAAGAGTATTATCGTATGATAAGTCTTCTCTTATTATTTGATTGTGTAGTACAGATTGTTTATATGAAATGACCATTTCAATAGTATTAGAAATTTCACCTGTACCTTCACTATTGTCATCGTCTTTTGAAATACTTGAGTCTGAGATATCTATCTTTAATTGTTTTGAAATCTTCTTTTTATTAGATTGTTGTTGTTGTGGAAGATTTTTTCCAATAGTAGAAGATGATTTTAATTTCAAATTCTCATATTGATCTTGTTTAGATGAAAGATTTTCATGATTTGATATTTTAGTTCTATCAGTAGGTGATTTTGATAATTGTGATTGTTGTTGAAGAGTAGATGAATTTATTAGTGTTGAAGAACTATCATCCGTGTCTGCATCGATTTCATCAACAGTTGTAGGACGCTCTCGTAATTTCCGTTTTCTACTATCACCTGTTTGACTATTTCTATCAGATGTCTAAGAAAAAAGTAAATAGAAAAAAAAAAGCAATGATTATTTTATTTTGTTTTCACTGTAGATAAATATTGTAAATTTGTTTTTGAATTTACTTCTGTTATTGAAAGACATGATTGATTGTCAGTTGTATTATGATTAATATTTTGAATTGATTTATTGTATTGATTCTTTTGTTCATATGTCTGTAATGAAGTATTGTTTGTGTTCTGTCTCAAATGATTTTCCCTTTGGTTTTTAGATCTATTACCATCATTAGAATTATTCACATTTGTACAAAGTTCTTCCTTAGTTGAATTCAAAAGCAAATCACAAAAAACTAAATCAATTAAAATAGAAAATAACTTTGTTCTTTTTTTTTTTTTGAGATAAACTAACCGAAGAAGAGTGGATTTGAATAGTTTTTTTCGACATGTAAATATGAGACATAAGCATCATAGCCAACATCTGAAATATGATATAAGAAAGTAGAAAGATGAATTGACTCAAATTTAATCTAGTCTATCTATTCGAAACAAAATTCATTTTTTTGCACAAAAAAAGAATAAGAAAGTCTAGATGAAAGGTCAGTTTATTTTTTAATGATTGATCGTATTGTATTACATGTATTAATTTTCTATTGCTCAATCAAGTTTGTTATCTTATCTAAAATGTTTTATTACAGAAACTTTTGAAAATTAATTTTTTACTTTCATTTCAATTATTTTGACATTTTTCTCGATAGTTTTCTAAATAAAATCTTTATAAGAGGTAGTATACTTGTATCTGTAGAAGCTATTGATCTCGGTGATTACTTTGATTTTTACGTATAAAAGATGTTCTACAATAAAATATCAAAGTTGTTAAAAGTAACTTTTGGATACTTGTGAAAACTACGAACAACTACGGTTAATTTATAAGGGAACATTCCAAAGCGTCGGAATGTTTTTGAGTCTGAACTTAGTGTATTTTTGTAGATTGTAGCGAACTATGGTTAACATAACAAGGTTTGCACGTGCTTATGGCTTGTTTTTTAGGAGTTCGAATATTTTTACTATTATAACTATTAGAGTCATCTTATCCGAGAAAATCACTGTCTCAATCAATACAAATGGATATAAGCTAAGATTTTTCTCACATATATAGGCTTACCGACGTGGAAGATAATGTGATAGTATGAGTATAAAAGAGTCTAGAAAAGCAGAGTATCGGTTTTAGAAAATATTAATGTAAAACAATTTTGAATAGTTGATGATTATAGTTTGCTACTGTAATAAATTTATTTTTTCTTCGAATCTTACATCTTTCACATTGCTTATATTTTGAGTTAAATATGAAATAATCTCTTCCGTACACAAATGATGAAAAGAATGTCAAAATATGCTTGGTATGCAAGTGAAAACGAATGTTGTGAATCATCTTCGTTCATTTGCTGTCAGCATTTTTTGTTCGATTATTACTTTCATAATATACTCTAAAAAGTTTAGTTTAATGGTAATTGTTTTGTGAAATAAAGAGAAGTTCCATTTTGTTTTTGTTTTTCATTCAGTAAGTAATGCTATCTATATATTCTTTTGAATATCATAATCTAAGGAAAGATAAATATATTATCGTTGCAAACCATAACTATCAAGCATTCAAAATTGTATAAGTATTCAATATTTAAAAATTTTCAACTGTATATTTCATCATTCTAAGGAGTACCATAAATACAATATTTTGCAAAAATAATTTATCACTTTTTTTTCTCGTATTTTTCTGCTACAAGATTAATTTCGATAGCCGTTCATATTTTTAGATAATAGTATATTTTTAGTTGTCTATTAGGAATGTATGATATGGATTTGAAGTGTTGTGCCGTTGAGTTGACTTTTGGTTTCAACCTTGATAATGGCAAAAATGATTGCGCTACACTTTTTGGAGCAAGACAAGCTGTTTGGAACTTGGAATCAATCATCAATTGTTAAACGACGATAACAGAAGCTTTCTAATGCCGATATTAAAGATAGATTATTTCTTTGAGGAGGAACGAAAAAATTAAATGAAAAAGATGAAGAAAAAATCATATGTTGGATCAAAACAAGAAGACCAACAAAATAATCAATCAAAATTCTTCATGTAATAGAAAAAGCCAAATCATTTCATGCTGATTTACAGTCCAATTGTAGCAACACTACGGGGTGATGGAAGTACTTTACTTCCATTTTGGATTCAACATCGAAATGCCAACAAGAGAAGAAAACAAAAAGCTATTAAAGAAATGAATGCTACATTTATGCTGAAATACATTGATGAAGTTTTGGTGCCACAGGTATGTGATGCAAAAGTAATATTAATGAATAACTTTCGATGTCACTATAATGGACAAATGTTGAAGAAAATAACCTAATTGAGATTGAAGACATGGTTGTTTTTGCTTCACATGAGGCTTGGAAACTTTCATAGTGTGATAACAGTTTTTCTAGAGAAATGACAACGATTTATCGTCCAATGCGTCATGATACAGACAATAAAAAAAAATGAAAAAATCAGTATTAATAGTCTATAATTTGATACCATCAACAAATATATGTTCGTATTTTCGTCAATATAGATTAAAGCAATAACATCGACGAAATTTGTGAAATGGAGACATAGAAAGAGTATTAAATGCTCATTTTATTTAGTACGACAACATTTTGTAAACTTGCTTCGTTTAAAATAAAAAATCGTTTTGAAAAGTGATGAATTATTTTTGAAAAATATTGTAATTGACATTCAGAACTATGTTAACATTTTCCAAAAGCATTATTTTGCTCTTTTTTATGTTCATATGATCACATAGTCTTCCACATCAGTTAGTCTATATATATGTGAGAAAAATCGCAGCACGTTTCAACTTGTATTGGTTGAGACAAATGCCATGAATCATGCTTCTTTCACAGATACTCCAGTGACACTTGCTTCCTCGAGCAGTTACTCCCAGAACCATTCCTCCACAGACAGTTGCACTACAACGATATGTGCTCCAGTAAAAAGTCCAAAGTAAACTTTCACGAGGTACAGATTATTATATACTAAGTAGTAGCTAAGATAGTTATAAGTCAGTGCCGAATTTATAAAGCAATGGGGAAATTAACGAATTGATTTGAAACTTATTATCAGTCTCACTAAATGTTCATAGTAGTATGAACGAGTAGAACTGTAAAAAAGCTATAGGTGTGCTTCTTCTCTAAATCCAGACACACACTACACCCACACTCATTTATACGTTGTTCTTGTAATTAATAAGAGTTTTGTTAAGTACAGTTGGCGAGCAAGTGTTCGAGGAGCAACATTCGTGTTATCGGTTGAGACCGTGATTTTCCTCTGATAAGATGACTCTTACAGCTATAATAGTAAAACTATTCAATATCCTCAGAAACAAGCCATAAGCACGAACTGACTCTTTTTATGTTAAATATAGTTCACTTAGGAATGTTCTCTCATTAATTTTAATTGTAAAAGATAATGATATTTCACTAGATATTTAATGATAAAACATTTTTTATAAGTAAAAACCGAAATAATCATGAGCATGGATGGCACCGATCTGAATTTGTCAAGACTAGTACAAGCATGAACAGGTCGAACGGACCAGTAGTCTGGTTATAGGCTCCATCTCTGATTATGAGTATTCATTAGTTTTTACAGGTATTCTAAGTGTATTACTAGCAAAGCTTCATATTAAATGAAGAATGTTTCGCTTTAAAATAGTGTAATTAAATATTTTACCGAGTTTCTCCAATGGTCGTCCAAGAAAGCTACAATCAAGTCGAGCCATATATACTACATTAAGAAATGTTGCTTTAACCAATCGAATAATGCATGAAGCAATACCAAGAAAACAATCTTCAAAAAAAGAAAAATATATAAATATTTCATTCGATTTTATCTTCAAAGTTTACCAGCAAAAAAACTGAAATAAACAAATATAGCATAGGTTTTTAGATTTTTCATATGGTCTATATTTTGTGACTCTTTTGTAAATATAAACTTTCCTGCTGTTGTCATAATAAGCATTTTTAATAAATAAACAACAAGTATAGGTACAATAATTGCAAGAACTAATTCAACTTGATGACTTTGTGATGAAAAAATTCGTATTCCAATTAATATTAATAGTATTAAATGAAAACAAATAACAAAACCCCATGCCATATATCCAACAAGAAAACCAGAATAATGTACAGAATGCGATACTATTGACCTCCATGAAATATTCGCTGGTGATGGAATATCCATATGTATACCTTTATATAATTGTAGTTTATGTTTTTTATAATTTTGCATTCCAATGAGTAATTGAAATCCGTATATAACTGCTGTTAAAACAGTGCTTACTATGATTTCACGTTGCAAAGTGAATGAATCATTTAATTCTATGTCATTAAAGCAAAAGTAATTATAAAAAATAGTTTTCAATGAATATTCAAATTACTCACCAATATTTGCTGAATATTCAATAAAAGATCTTATAGATGAAATAAGTCCTGTTGTTCTTGAAGTATATAGAAAAAAAAATGTACATGTCAAATAATAGAGAACAACGAAAGCTACTGAATAAGTACAAGTTGCTATAGTTGTAAAATGAAAGCTATCATCCCAATCATAGAAAAAATTGAAACACTTTTTAATACATGATTGATTAATTACATTTTGTTGTTTTGATTCATGCTCATGAGCAATTTGATCATTAATATTTGTATTTTTTTTAGGTGTTTTTCGATACGCAGGACAATTACGTCGAAGTAATTTTCTAACATAATATCTTGAAAATTCCAATTCATCAAATTCTACATTAGATGCTGACCAAATACTTTCCCTTCTTTTTATTGGTACATATATTGAGTCATATGCAAAACGCACACATAATTCAGCACCAATATATGAAAGAAGCAAGAAATGTGGAATATTTTTTATTAAACCATAGATAATAAACCATGTACCAAGTTCCTAAAATTATGTATTTATTCATTAATAATATTTATTAGAGGTTGTTTGTTATAACTATTTAACATTTTTAGAGAAGATTGATAGCATGCTCACTTCTGAAGAGTTCACAAGAAATTAAATTTATTCCATTTTACTTTGCAGAGATCGAAAGGCTAAGTGTTAGTACATGTCTATCCACAACTTCTTCAAAATTTTTATAATTTTTTTTGTCAAAACAATTATTTTTTCTTTAATAATTATATATAAAGTAAATAAATTTTTTCGTCTGTAAGAAAATATTAATTTATATACCTCCCGGAGTTTAGCTTCTTCCAAAACTGGATGTTTTTTTGATAATGGTAGAAAACCCATACATGATCCTTCTCGCATAATTGTATATATAATATCATAGAGTATATATAGACAAGCAAAAAAACGAGCAAAAATATTTCGTAATTGTAGAGAAGCAAGTACTGGATAATATCGAAGTCTAGACAATTTAAGAAAAAGCAAATAAGAATTCGACTTTCTTCTAAACAAAAATATACCCAATAACAACAATAGTTAGTATTCGTGTGAATAATTCAAAAAGTACACCATGCTTAGGTGTTTGATTTAAACTAAAAAGTAGTCCTTCAAAGATTTTTAATACTTCATAAGCAATTATTCCAAAAACAGTTGCTGTCGTGAAACGATTTTCTATACTAAATGGTTCGATTGGTGATAATAAACCTAAAGAAAAATTTCAGCAATAGAGAAAAAAAAAGTCAAATCTGTTTTACCAGGTCGACCATAACATGTATTTATACATCGTTTTTCTCGTTTAATTAACCAAGAAAAAATGAATATTAACACCAATGCAAAAGGAAAGAATTTGAAATTTTCGTTTACATAATCTAATGTACTTTCACATTGTTCTACCAAACGGATTGTATTCTTATGTAAATGATTAAATGTTTTATCATAAATTTTATCAATTTCAAATAATGTATAATATCTTAATGTTATAATAATGATTATGACTGATAAAAAGCATGTACTTAAAAGACCAATCCAAATATTACGAACAAGATTACGCTTAATTGGATTTAATAATTTATGTGGACCTCTTGAAAAATGAAAATTTAGAATTATAAATATGATTAAAATAAAAAAATATTATAGAATGAATTGAATTATTGATGATCGGGCAATTCGTCGTGGATTCGTGAGTGCCGATGTGAATGAAGATCTTTTATGTATCCTCATGAACACACACATCCATGTCTAATCTAACGTATCCACCCTCAATACTTGTTTAGGATGCTTCAAGACTAATATGTCATTTGACTAGATCCTGTCGGTTCGGGTGCTTAAACTTTCGATTCAATAGACTCTAGTTGTCTGAAAAACATATAGGGTGTACTGATCACCGAGTACAAAAAACCGAAGAAGACTATCTCATGTCTTTGGGGCGACTATCAAAGTCCGCTTAGAAAATTTCGTTGACAATATCAAACTACGATTTAACTGGTTCCGGGGTTCGGTTTTGCTTTAGAAATTCTCTATCCGATGAGTTCTACATACGACCAACAGCTCTACAACGAATTGTCCCAGCACTGAGTTATTTTCTAAAGAAGAAAAGTTACCTTATTTTTTTTAAAACGGCTTCACTAATTTGTAGTTCATTAGTTACCTTGACTACTGTCGATTGATTGTTGTTATCATCATCGATTTGTTTTGATCTATAATGATAAATAATAGTTCTTTATTATGAATTAAAAATATGTTATGTGCATTGCTGTAGATTTCAAAGGTTGTCTATAGTAATTGTTTCTTGTTTATTCTGTATTCTGTATTTTCGTCCTTTCATTTTAATGATTCTAGTATCTTTTTTACGACTTCTATTATAAAAAAAAGTTAGATTTGATTCGTCACATAAAGTACAAAATTCATTCTTGGTTTTGTGTAAATTGTTTGTGTTTCTTTTAGATTTTGAAAAGTTTGATGATCGTGATTGCTCGATTTCAAACGAGAATTTTTTTAATCCGAAAGATAATTCTTTACCTATTCAATTTTCTAAACCTTAGCAACTGCTCTCTCTCTCTCTCATCAGTGTATGTACAAAACATTTTAACTATATTTGAATAAATTTTATTGTTTCTTCAAGTATTCAAAGCAGTACAAGGTCTTTTTTAAATGCAAAGAGTTTCCCAAGAACTATATCATAAATACGGTTAATTGAATAGAAAAAGACATCAGCAATCTAGTAGTTATCGTTTTATTATTAATATACATCTGTGTGAGAAAGTGAGAGTTGATTCTATTTAGTGTAACAGTACTTTTTCCATTTGAATCCTATTAGTCATGTTTATACTTAAACGATAAATGAAATTTGCTCTTTATTTGGTCAAAAAATTTTCGTAATTAATAATATACCGTGAAAAACGTCGAATCGGTATGTATATTATTCCATAAAAAATTATAATAATAACAAAACTGATCAGGATTTGTTGACCTTCTTGTGAAACTAAAAAAGAAAAATCAAATTATTTTTCAAAAAGTTCTTTCTTTCGATTGATTGTTATTTTGGATAATTTTCGATCCAATAATTAGATAAATATAGAGAGCGAATATTGTTGATTCACTGTATAGATTCAAAAGCAAATGATATTTACTTTGATAATAAAAACAAGATTTTGAAAAGCATTATCTTCTTATTTTCAGTAGAACAGATTAACTGACAATTAAAAAAATAATCCTATTGAATTAGGCTTTTGCAGGTGCTAGAAAACTCTGAGTTTTCGATTAAGCCAAAGCGTACAAAGTTTACACTGATGGTCTTCAATTGTGTCGTCTTGATTTTCTTAAATAAAAAGGTTTTTCAATGAACCAAAATGATTTTGAAGATTTAAAAAGAGATTTTTGAAATTTGTCAACGCCAGGAAATAATTCTAACCTCAGTCTTTCAAGATTGTCAGCTCAAAATCCTGCAAATTAATCATATTGTAACATAAAAATAAACTGATTAAAGTTCGAATTTTGTGACACATTAACTTTCAATTACGTGGAATCTCCCATCACATCCGGCGCATCGCTCCTTACAGGAAGTATCTTCGAATATTGTGAGTTTTTCTTTTGCAGACAGGTGTTTAGCTGAAAACAGATCTGCGATATCACTAAAGACATTTTCTCATGAGAGCCGGACAGTTGGTCCCCAGGAAATTTGCTTTTTAAGACATTTGCTCAACAAGATACTTTGTCGTGTATTGATATCGTCATCTATATGATCTTTTTGTTTTAAACATGGAACATGATTATGAATTGATCAATATAACAAACCATAACAGTAGAGTTCAGAAATATTTTAATGAAAGGGCTAATTTTTGGTTCTAATTACGAGAAGCACTGTATGTTATCTCCTTTCTGTTTCATTTTTTGCTATTAATAATTCTTTTCTTGACAAATGAGATGGAAATGGATTAATTTCATAGAATTAGACCTATTCCATCGACATTCAAATATATCTTTGTCTCAACCTTGATATGGTCTTGTATTAAAGAATTATTTAAATGACATTAGATTAAAATAGACTGATGAAGGTTAGAAGAAAATTCTTTTCGAAACTTAAACATTCGATTTTTAGCCATACGTTTCCTGACGTTTAACTATCTGTATGCCAATAAAGAAAATGCTCAAACAGACTTCTATGACTTTAGTAAACAAATAAAATGAAAACTAAATGAAGTATTTTCAAGAAAAATAAATTCTTCTATTTTTACATACGTTTCTCACAAAAACGACCACCATACAAAAATGAACAGGAACATTTGAAATCTGATAATGTATTGATACAGTGTCCATGTTTACCACAAATAACATTTGCAAAACAAAAATCAAGCACTATATATCAGAAAGAAAATACTCTATTTGATTTGATTGATATTGAAATTACAAACCATATTCACAAAGATGATGATATTCAGTTTTAGGTTCGACATCACTTAATGAACAAACAATTTTATCTGATACAATATATGTTGTTAGCATATAAACAGTTGAATTATCATTTAAAGCATTCCAAGCAATTTGATCACAAATTCGTCGAATATTTTCGATTTCTTCAAATTCATCACTTTCATCTGATGAATTAAGATCATCATATTCATATTCATCATCATTAATAAGTAAACTAGAATTTATAGTTGTTTCATGTGGTTTATATGGTTCAGATGATTGTTTTATTTTTCTTGAACGTCTCAACATATGTAGACCAACCAATTTTAATCTTTCGACGACTTTTGTTGTTAAATTAATATATTTCATACGTACTTTCTGAAATTTTTGTTTCATTTGTTTCCATCGATCTTGATCGTTCGTTAACATCTCTGCAAGATTTTTTCCTAAAAAAAAAGTTTTCTTTTTATTTTAAGTTCTTTCTTAGAAAAATATTTTTCTTACCTATAAGTAATTTTGGATCAATAGACAGCATTAATGATGGCAAATTATTTCTTGTTAATACATGAGCAGCATAGATTAGTTCAACTGTATTTTGTATTTCTATGAGATTTGAAAGATTAGAATGAAGATGATTACATGTATGACGAGCAGTCAACGATGTTGATGTTAAGTTAGAAAGATAATAACATGAGCCACCTAATCGTCTCCATCCTTTTGGACAACGAAATCGATTAACTAAAAAATAAAGTTTAAAGATACTTGAGTAACACATCTCTATTATTGATAGCTTCCAATAGAAAAATTCAATCTTTACTGTAACTTCATAATCCTAGTGTTACATTTCCAAAGGATCAAACTCCTTTTCTTATGAAGAAGATTAGCCTTGAAACGGGGAACCTCAAACATATTGATCAGAGAAAGTTGATCAATAACTGGCAGCGCTGGAACCGGTCCGGTCGTCCGGTACCGGACCGGTTTGGAAAATCAACCGGCCCGAACAATACCGGAATTTCACCGGTTGAAAGTTTGAAAAAAATCTGCTTTATTAATCCTATTTTTGGCCATAAAAGCTAAGATGTCCCATGTTTTTCTGTCCGNATTCTTGATGACATATTTACATTTTACAGCCGTCTGTATGTCTTTAGCTTTCGTCTTTTTTCAAATATATCTAAAACTGTTTTTGAGCCTAGTCACATATGGTTTTGTAGAGAATTTTAAGCGCTTTCTTTTGATAATTAAGACAGCTTTACTTACAGTGATAATAGACAGGAAATCTTAAAAATACTGGGAGGCTCATTATTCCTGGGACACCCGATAGTTAAGGAGGTGCGAGTCAGCAGGAAAATAACTTTTTGTCTCGCAAACAGATGTCTTATCCGTACTTCCTCCAGGTATCTTTTGACCAAGAGAGTGCTTAGGCACCTTCCTGGCTACGTCTTTGCACTCCACACCCCATAGCCAGTCTACACCCGCACTTCACACTCACGTTCCACACAAATATCCACACCCACACTCCTTTACAGCAATAGTGCCCATACTGAATACTCTCGATTACCAATTTTTTTTGCACAGTGTATAGAGCGAGAGAGGGGTCCTCCACAAAGTGACTTACGAGTCAAAAGTATCGAAAACAACTCTTCAGAAATAATCAAGTTGCTTTTATAAGTCTTTTAATTGAGAAGTTTCGAAGACATAAATGTGTCTTTTACTTAAAGTATTATTATTAATTGAAATGTCATAGAGAACTATTTAGTGATTAGGATATCAGTTTGTTTCGAAATGTTTTTTCTTTCTTTTAGTGTATTTGTAAAAAATTTCACTTCTACGTTAAATGGTCATTTAGCTCACTGAAACTTGCTCAAACTGTTCTTTCAAGACGTTCAAAGATTCACTCGTAATTCCTAATATATGAGTCCCTTACGAATTGCAAACATATATTTAGAAAGATCATAAAATTATGATTCTAACCATATACTTTACATTTTCTGCTCACTCTCATTACCAGTCGACAAATGAAAGAACATGCTCTCTAGAAATTTTTGCACTATCTGTTATTAAATAAATATTGAAACCGTCAATTATTTGAGATCAACCATCATATCAAACTATTCTATATATAGAAATATAACTTTTAACAAAATATATTTTTATGTATAAAATGACAATGCTAAAAACGAGTTTTAATCAATGTTTATCATAAGCAAACAAAGATTTAATAGAAAAATTTTTATGGCTTCATCTCATTCGTAAAACACAATCTTTATTCGAATAGAACAGTAAATTTTTACTTATTAGATATAACGGGGACAGCATAATGAATGTCCGCGTTTTGCATTTCATTTTTTCATTCCTTAATACGTTTCTCTGGAAAAAGAACCAAAATACACCAAAAGATGCACCATGAAAAGCTCTACAATCTACAAAGTAAAGCTTATTTTAATTGTGCATGTTTTTCTTGTCTTGAAAACAAAACATACACAATTAAAATAAACTTTACTTCGTAGATTGTACAGCTTTTCATGCTGTATCTCTTGGTATATTTCGGTTTTTTAATAAAGGGTATTAACTGATGAAAACATGAAATGCAAAACTCAACTATTCATTATGCTCACCCGTTATTTTATTAACTTCTCGCTGGAAAAAAAGTAGCTACTCTTCTCGAGTATCTGTCCTTAAATCGTATCTAAACAACATACCAGTCTCTTCGATTTTGTCAATAATAGATGGAAATTGATTCGATAGTGATCTGATATCAGTATGTTCGAGATTTTGTATATCTGTCGACGGAGCACATGTTATTGGTTGTGTGAAAATTGTCGCCAAGAATAAATATGCTAATGAAAACATAATCACCTCCATGTATCAAACAATTGTTGTTTAGTTTTGTCGTAAATAATTGAGACAATGCAGACTGGCAGTAGAAAATGTAATCGAATCACTATTTTTTTACCTGAAAGCAACTTAAGAATATTTATGCATAGCGTAATAATGAAAAAAAAGGACAAAAAAGTAAGAAAAAAGAAAATGAATGAGGAATTCAAGTCAACTTAATATGATGAATTTTTTCATGCAATAAATTTTACCTTTCCTTTTACATGCAATTTTATTATGAAATTTCCTTGTTTTAGAAGTTGAAAGTTTTACAGTTTTAAATGTTTATACTTTCAATTTTCATTAAAAAATATGTCGAGTGATCAGTCTGACAGTACAGCATGATCTAACCATGTTTATATAGTAATCAAGATAAAATATAATTCAAGAGCAAAAACACTATTATGAAAAATATTGTTTTTACTGATCATTACTAATACAAATATAATACTATTGTGTTTCGATAATAGGCTCGGTGTTCAAAAGAACCAATGAGTTATATACTGTATCAAGTAATGTATTCAATAAAAAGAAAAAAAAAGTTAAAGCCGTCGATAATTGTTATAATATGGTAAATAATAAATTTGTTGACGACGAATATAAAATGCACTAACTGAAACGACAATAATAAATACAAGCGAAGCGATGATAATTCCAGCGATTGATCCGGGACTAAATGTGTCAGGATAATATGGACGAAAAGTTGTACTACTACTATGTTCTGACGATGTTTTTGTTGAAGACACACTGGTTGATTCTGATATGGAAACACTAGATAAATTCGTCTTTGGCGATGAAGAAATATCAAATAATGGAAATTTATTGAAATTAATACACAAAGCTATACCTGAATAAAAAAATAATATTAAATCGTGTTTACTTAAAACATGAATACGCTTGAATGTAATAATGTTTACACAAACTTCTAATATATTTCTCTGCATCGTTTTTTCCCCATATTTTTACAGTAATGCTATATCCATAAAGGCTATTAAATATTCAAGTGATATATTGAATGACTTCATAAAGTTCAATATTTGCTTTTCGGCTGCTTTCTCCTTCTTATTATTTGATAATATCATAAAGTGAATATTTTATGAGTCAATTTTATTTCAAGGATTACTCATGGTTTTATAGCACTGCAAAACTTGTATCTTATATTTATTTAAGGGATTTTTCTCAGTCGAAATGATTCATATAGTAACTTACTGTTCATCAAGCATATAAAAATGACTGAAAACAAATGCATTTTGGTTTTGTTTTGTTTTGATTGTAGAAAAATAAAAGCAATAACAACTTTTCATATTGTTATCTTTTTATCAAACTGATAAAAAATATTGACTCAGGAAAGAATAAATAAAACTCTTTCTTTTTGCTTTTTGATTCGAAGTTTTGAATGAATCTTCATTATTAGACAAAAAAAAAACTATTTACTTCTAATGAACTTTTTTGTTAATGTATTTTTTTTCTTTAAATCCAAATCAGAGAGACACAGAGACAAGGTTTTCTTTTTTTTTTCTTGTGTAACGAAAGAGAAACAGAATGAAAGGAGAAAAAAGCATAGAAATCTAATGGGGAAAAAAAAGCAAGGGAAAAAATGAAATAGAGACACAGAAGACAAACAAATGAAAAATGAAAAGTAAATGAACAAGAAAAAGTGAGAAAAAAAAGAAACACAATATATCAACGATGACCATACATGAAAAAGAGGAGAAAAGCAGGATTAATAAAGGGACATAAAGTAAAGGAATAAAGCGATGAATTGGATGCACGAATACTGAAGCATGAAACAGATAACATCAATAAGAAATAGAGACAAAGATGACTGTTCGATGGTTATTTTTTATTAATAGCTGCTTCAAGTGTTGGAAATTCTTCAGTTGAAGCTAAATTTGGTTTTTCTTTTTTCGATGTTCGTTGATTAAAACCACTAACAATAGTAACTGATGAGTTACTACGTAATTGAGGTGGTCGATAAACTCCCGATGCCGTTGTTGCAGGTTTCGATGGTAATTCAGCAACTTTATCTACTTTCGAATCAACCGTTTCATTTGTTTGTATTAGTTCAGTTTGTTTAACTTGATCTAATTTCCAAACAGGCTTATCTTTTTGTTGTTCACGACGTCGATTATTATTACGTGACGATTGTTCATCATTATCACCACCAATATTATTTGTATTAGCGTCAGTATTTAAATCATGATTATTTGTATTATGACCATCATCATAATAATCATCATCTTCATCTTCATCAGAATGATTATGATCATTTGTACCACGTGAAAATTTTAAACGTAATTGATCATATTTTGGGTTCGAATTTTCGAATTCTTCCCATTCATCTTGTTGTACAATACCAGTTGGTTGTTCATTAATATTATTCTGATTATCTTGTACTGTTAATTTAGTTGAATTTTTATTTTTATTATTAGTTGATATTACATGTGGTCGACTTTTATTAATAAGCGTTTGATTATCTTCATAAACATTCACAATACCATTTGATTCATCATTTAATTGACGACGATTTTGATTATTAATACTCGTATCTTCATCTTCTTCATCGAAATCCATATTTTCTTTAAATGCTGATGTAGCTGATGTAACAATGACTAAATATGAATACAAATTCCATCTTTGATTATTATTATTCTTATAGTTATAGTGGTTTTTTTTTTCATACCTAATTGTTTAAGTAATTCTTCATTATTTGTTAATATACCAGTTGGTTTTTTATGTTTATTACCTTTTCGATCTTTCTTTTTAAAGAAATCATCAAGATCATCATTGGTTGCCATGTTTTTTTTTTTTTGTTTTTGTTTCTTCGGAATGATATGTAGTTGATAAAAAATAAAATAAAACAGAAAACTTTTGTAGATTTAAATATGAATGTGTTGTGCTTTGTCTTTTGAAAATTGCTTTTGTTTTGTTCGTTAATTTTGCTAATTGAATAAATATGATTGTTTTTCACTCATGATTGATAATAATTGTCCAGTTGGACAGGTATTTGGAATAGAAAGAAATTGTTTGTTGTTTAAAGTATTGTTTGATAAAGAAACGGAGGAAATTTGACGAGAACAAAAATAAGAAGAGCGCGTCTTTCTGCGACTCTTGACGGACGACAAAACGGAAGAACGATTGTTCGAAAAGCTTTTCTGTGTAGAGTCTAGCATAATCTAAAAGAACGAAAATAAGAAAGATAAAAAAAAAAAATAACTAAAAATTCTTATGAGTGTAACAGTCATTATATATTGCATGATTATGATAAGAATAAATACACTTCTATATCATTTTATTTTCAATGAACTTATCTTAGAGCTTTCTTTTGTTTTTTGATTTTCTAATAAAGAAAAATGAATTCGAAATTAGGAAACAATATTAGATTTTAGTCTCTGAAAATAAAAAAAAGAAAAAAGAAACGATAACAACAAATGTATGTCTGTCTACGTATACACACACTTTCATTCATGTCTTTGAGAGTTACCACGGCCTGAGTAAATAAACACCTACGCGCATCATCTTTCCGACTGTGTATGGAAAAGAAAAAAGAGTGACGTAGCCTCTTTATACTAATTCAAAATCGCATACAAAAGAAAAAGAAATAAAACATAGAAAGGCTAAAGTTTATCTCATCATATCACTAGGTGACCATAACGAGACAAGGAATGATTAGAATTTTAAAAGAATAAGAGAGCAAGCAATTCTACGATAGAAATAGAAAAATATGATACGAAAAAGAACGAATCAAAAATAAGAGAATAGAACAAAAGCTTTAGGGCATCTCATTTTTTTTTCTCGTTTTTCTTGTTTCATTAAATTCAGACTACATTTTGTCAAAATATTTATAAAAAAAAAAATAAAGATTATTTTTTCGTATTCAAACACTTTTTGTTCTAAATAAAACTGAATGTTTTGGATTTTTTTTTAATTTTCTGAATAAAGGTATGAGATTATATTTGTTGATAAATGTTCGATCAATATGAAAAAGTATTGCACTAGTATAACCTGCAATACCATATTGAAAAATGAGATTTTTTCCAATGCTATTTAATGAAATGCTGTATGGAAAATCCAAATAACCTAAGAAAAATAAAATAAATATGAAATTAGAAAAGAATAATAAATAAATAAATAAACGAATTCTTGTTTACCTAAATATTCGGATCGTTCATCTGCAATCGAAAATTTACTATGATTAGTTCTAATCCCAATTGGTCGACTATAAATAGGAAAATTGTTTTCAACAAGTGCTATGATTGAATGTGTTGGATCTTGAATATTACCTATTTAATAAAAGAAAGAAAGTTGTTCTTTTATCAATTATATGAAATCACGCTAATTTAATAGACAATAACTAATTATACAAAGAAAGAAAATGCAATTCACAAGATGAATTGAAGAGCTATACTTTAGAATATGTGTCTTGATTTCTTAGAAGGACATATGATAATACAATTATCAAATGTACTTACCAAGAGATTCGTCGCCACGCTCATCAATATATACACGAATTTTAGTTGGCGAAATAAAAACTTTTTCTATTGTACAAAAATAATTTTCATTATATCGACTTATACGTTCTTGTAGTTCATCACCGGGTATCATTCGTTGACAATAGACTGATTTTTCAAAATAAGAAAAAAATATTAATCTAAATATTCTTTCTTAAACTTTACTTTGTTTACAATGTTCGAACCACTTCATTCTTTCTGAAGATTTTTCACATGTTGGATCGCGACGTAGGGTCATAATTCGCCAGTATCTTTCATCTTGAGCAAATCGTCGAAAAATATCGACAAGTTGATGTAAATGAAAGAAAATCACGTACATCATCTTTCCATGGTCGACCGATAATATTAAAAATAATTATTTCAATTAATTCATTTGGTAAATCCAATAAACATGTTTCCATCTAAAAGATACAATCAAATGTAGGGAATATTGAAGGAGAGAAAAACGTTCTTTTATTGGTATATTAGAGGACGTTTGGTTAGATCAAATAATGAAAAGTACAAGAAGAAACAAAAGGATGAAATGAAATGAAGAATTGTTTTGTTGTTCATAAATCTAGTGTTTTTCATCATGACCATGATGAAAATGTGTTTCAAATTCTGCATCGCTTGTTTCATAACCTTTATTTTCAAAATGAATAGCATTAAACCATTTACTATGAAATGGTGAATGTGTTCCATCTTTAAATGGCCATTTCATACGTGGTCGTAAATGATCCCAATCTTTATATTCTGGACGGATATGATCTTGTGGTAGAATCAAATTAAGATATGTTAACAAAGCAACAGCTGGTATAGCAATTAACAATGAAACCCATTTCCACATGTTAACTTGTGAATTAAAACGATTAGTTAATTTATCAAATTCGATCGGATCAATTGGACAATAATCAATTGGCACCGGTCGAACACGTTCCGGAACACCTAAAGTTTTACGAAAACAATAGATTCAAATTTTTCTTTTTAAATCTATTAATTGAAAAAAAGTTCTTTAAAGAAGATATTTGTAAAGTTAAAAAGAAAACTTCTCGACCTTTCTTTTTTGAGTGTTATGTATTTCAAAGAATTAATTTAATTTTCATATTTCATTAAAAAGTTTTCTTTTAACAGCTGACAATGGAACGTTGGAAAAAATGACTTCTTATCAACTCTGGTGAAGATTGATTAAATATATCTTTTACTATTTTTATCCTAGGTAACAGTTATAATGAAGAAGAAGAAAAACAGACAGTGCATTCGTAAAATCTAATAATCAGGAACAGAGCTTCTCAAAAGAAGCACAGTACTAGTAGTTTGTCAACCATTTACACTTTTCTATTTCTGTCGAATAGATACCAAAAAAATTGAAGCTTTACTTCAGCCTAAACAAAGTAGACAATGAAAACTGAACTAATCTATTTCTAATAATACCATACTCACAATCGGATAAACAAAAACAAAATTTTTGTTTTTCGTCATCTCTTTTTCCTAGCTGATCTGTGTCATCGTCTCAGTCTAGTTCAATTGTTAGTCGCTGAGTATTGAATCATGGATCTATGATGAGTTTATAAATATTAATGTAAAATTATTTACCAGGCCAGATTTTAATTTGATGTGCACGTTGTTCATCTGTAAGTACAGATACAGCTGATGAATTTTGTGAAGGAACACGAAATGCGTCTTGTTGACGACGAGCAGCCAACAGTTGGTTGATAACACGTGTCAAATTAGGACGCGATCGAAGAGCAGGCAACATATTCGTAAAGAATAATTTCTTCTAGAAAAACAAATTCGAGAACAACAAAGAAGGTAGTCAGTATAAAATGCGAAAGAAATAAATAAACAATAAGCATTATATCATTAGCCAATCAACATACAAGACTTATAGGAAAAAAATTTAATAAATTCATAATAATTATTTTTAATACGAAACAAAAAGAAAAATTTTCTATTTGTAAAATGAAAAATTTTATTGAAGTCATAAAAATTCAGCAACGCCATCTGAAGAAACGATCTACTACATAGAAACCAATCAAACATTGGATACTTTCTATTTTGCGGTTGAAATAAACTACATACAAATTGGTCATAAGAAGTGAGCTAAACATGTAAACATAAGAAATTATGCACATTTCACATGGGCGTCATAAGCCAATCAGATTATAGTCCTTATTTTACCGTAATCTATGCCGATGCCGAGCACATTAATGCACTTCAACGTGTTAGATACGTTAACACTTTTCCAAAGCTCTCTTTAATATCATTTGGCGTTGGAGAAGAGAGACAAAGGTTTCATGCAGTCAAATTTTTGAGCATCATCCTTACTTCCAAGAAAAGTCACTAAACTCCATCCCATATTAGAAGCCCCCCGGGACTTCTATAGACCTTGCAAACTTTGGCCGGATTTTGCTGGAAAAAATCGAAAATTTTGCTGGATAGATCCTTTAAAGGGGGCTTCTATTACGGGGAGGGGTTTACAGCTAATTTATCTTTTCATTGCTCATATTCCATCGATTGATTCTTGATATAAAATCTTCATGAGATGTCTGGTTCGAGTTCGAATATAAATGGAGGCACAACTGATTGATATCAATTCGAAAATGAATAGATATATATATATATATACACTGTCCTGTAGATTTAAGCACAGATTCAATTTGAGTTTTACCTCTATTTAGTTAAATACACAGGTATCGTGTGTTCGTCTCCTTCAATGATTGCCTTACAGTGCCTGTCATGTTGGCGGTGAATGACTTCTGCCCACTCACTATACCTTGTATTTCAATGTTGCGACGTGGCGGCGCGAACCACTTCCTGCAGAGCCGCGACCCATGCTCATCTCTGTGTACACAATAATTACCATTTCCAGAATTATGTTTGCAAGGATCCTGGAGCCATCAGCCAGGATACCAGAGGCATCGCCTACGATGCTAGAAGCATAAGCTGGGGTTATTAAGGCATCACCTGTAATACCACAGGTGTCACTGCGGGCGCGAGAAGCATAACCCGGATGCTTCAGACATCGTCCACAGTGCTTGAGGCATCACCTAGGATGCTAGAACCATTCTCTGGGATGCTACAGGCATCGTCAAATAGGCTACTAGGTAAAGATGCAACGCGTCCAGTACGCCAGAGGATACCTGTAGCATCCCAGGCGACTTGGCTATCAGACATCACATTTTACAGTCCACCTCAGATACCAATGGAAGGAGGTCTTACTGATATAATTCAAAAAACATTCTGGATTTGATTGGTAAAGTCCGCATGGGAAAGTGAGCCCGATATTTGGAGTTTAGTTCTCGAGGTCACTTGTTTCGACTTATTTTCAATGAATATGCAGTGATTTAATGCTCAAATATCTTTATATATATATATATATTTAAATATAATTCATACATAACAGAAAAACTAAATCTATTCCTAAAGTTACAGGACAGTATATATATATATAGGAAAACTGAATCTATTCTTATCTATGTTCATTCGCTGGTATGCTTTCTGAAATCTGCATTTATATTCGAAATGGAAATAGACAGCTACTTGTGAAAATTAATATAGTAAGATGCCGTTCTATAGCCGTTTTAGATCGTTTAAGACACTGTTTCAGACTGTCAGAATGATCTGCCTGAGTGATCCTATTAATACTGAAGAAATTTCTAACAGGTATACTCACTGTGAATCTATCATTTTAATAACTACTTATATATGTTTTTAGAACATTGAATAGTACTGCAAAGAAACAAGGAAATGGCACAAATTACTGAATTGATTGTTGAATAAATAATATTTTGTTGTTGTTTTATCTACTACTATTATATTTGTGTACTTTTCAATAAAACATTGATAAACTTGAGAGTTTTTTCTTAATTGTTTTTTTATATAATATTCTCATTACTCGTTTTGTATGAAAATGATAAAAGCAAAAATGATACGCAAGGAAATTTATTAGCCGATTCAAATACTTCACGTTGACATTTACTATTTAAGTCGTGTTGACTTCCTGGAGTGAGGGCCTGTATGAAAGAGAGTATGATTAAAGATGTTGGTGATGGTACATATAAGACATTCACACACACTAACACCCATGTCTACACCCACAGTAACACCTTATTATTGGAACCAAAACAAAAACATTACTAACTCTATGGCTCAGTATTTACGAAACATCTAGTGTGCTTCATTTATCATGTCGTAAATAGAAATAGGGCTTTATGTTGGCTTTCTGTCAAAAAAAAGACACATTCTATTCATAAAAATGCGTATCAAATAAATCGAGTCAAATTTGTCATTTGACAACATGACGCCAGATTAAATTATTGATCATTTTCAAATAAAAATCAATAGCACCTTGTTCATACTGGAACATAATTGTACAGTCAAAGGGTGTGGGTTAGGCCTTTTGTTTTGAAAACTATAATGGCCCGTTATGNTCCATCTCAAATTGTGTCTGTGCCTATTAAGTACGAGATGAATTGAGAAAAAAATAGAGAAATGTACGTGCTTACCAAGTTTCCATCTTAAAAAACATTTCTTTACATATAATCATCGATTTAGTCGAGCTTAGACTTGTTCTTCTTTTTCTTGTTCTAGATTAAAATATTCTCATGGCTCGATGGATTTTTTTCTGTTTTATTCTCTTTATATTCCTTTTCAATAATATATCGACAATGATTTTAAATGACCAACGACATATATTTAAAAGACATATTGGTTCAGCACGTGAAAATTTTTTTCGTGCTAAACAATTTAAAAACAATAATGAAAATTTATTTCAAAGACAACAACAAGCACTTCCGTCACCTGATGCTTTGCGTGATCTTTGGACAGAATTATTTAAGGAACAACGTAAAATACATGAACCATTAGATACTGAAGATTGAAAAAAGAACTTATATATTTATCTTTTCATGGATATATATATATATATATATATTTATTGTATCTTTTGAATTAAAAAAAAACGAAAAGTAAATAAAACAGAAAATAAGCATTTATTTATTTTTTAATCCAATTGTATTTGTTCTTTGTATTGATGATTTATTAAGATATGTTTGTCCAAGTTCAGAGATTTTATTCGAAAATGATTTCCATATGTCAAGAAGCTTTTTAATTAAAGAAAACAATAAATATATATATAAAATAAATAAGAAAAAAAAAAGCACCTACATCGGATGAAACTTTATATTGAATATTTCCTAAACTACTTAATATATAAACAAATGCTTCTAAATTTGCATAGATTAATTGTGTTTCAGTTTGTATACATTTAAGTGCATGATTATTACGTTTTTCAATTAAATTAAGATTATTATCATTCTAAAAAAAAAATAAGACGAATAGAACAAAATAAATTGTCTATCTAATTTTAGATGTTTAATATAATCTTGCTGAATTCTTCATATCAATATTAAGTTTAAATTACGAAAGATAAAAATATTGATAATCGTATGTTCATTTCTTGTTTTGTAAGTAATGTTAATTATGTCAATAAAAACATGTGTCGAGAACCTTCACAAAAGGATAGGATTACACCATCATCACTTCTCATTGATAAATAAGACTTTCATTATTCTACGTCATATGAGACGCATTATAATCTGACATCATACTGTCAACTTTACAAAGAATTTGTTAGATTTTTATCGTCAATAAGAACAGAGCAACCTATGACAAGAATGTCTTCGAACAAAATATTTACTCATTTTTCAGCTAGTTAAAAACAATTGGTTAAACCCAAAAGCAATTAGTTAGAATCACACTTTTTCACTCTTTCCAAACATCTGTTCAGAATTTTGTTGTGGAGTAAGAGTGAACAACTCTCATCAGATTATTTAGTTGTACAGAATATTATTTTGGTTAACTTTGTATTTCTATTGAAACTAATCAAACTCAAAATGAAAAACAATTTTTAATGACTCAGTTACAAAGTATAGGATTTTAAAACAGTTTTTTTCATCAATGCTGTTTTCCATAGAAACTAGCTGTTTAGTGGAAACGTATAGACAAGATTTCACTTATTGTAATACTTCATATTGTATAGAATTTAATAATGTTGAATTGAAGTTGTTTCAACATAGAAAGTGAAGACTGTGCCAAAACCACTATTTTGCTTTGTACATACATAGTTTTGGATTTTTTCATAAAATTTACTCATGACTTGTTAATCTTACTTCAAAAGGAAGAACTAAACATATATTGGGAAATAGCGAAAAATTTTGATTCTAAATAGCATAACACTACTATCGATAAGTATATACATCAATAAAACACTCCAAAATATGTTTTATTTCTCGTCATATCGATAGAAAAAAAAATATTTACTTTGGCTGATGATTCATTTGTTGTTAATGAGCGTTTATTTTGATTTGTTGCTTTTTGAATGGCTCGTTGTTCAATTTGTAATGCTTCTTCAAATCGTTTACATAAATCCTTTTGAAACATAAGAAAAAAATCATATCTAATAAAACAGAACTTATTCTTTTTCCTCTACTTTATATCCCTGCAGTAATTCAATTAGCATATCAAGATGGTCATTAATAACTTCATCTTCATGTTTACATTCTTCGTTAATACGTTCTGCAACAGCATTTATTTCAACAGGTATTTCAACAAGACCACTTTGTATTGTTGGCCAATAATCATTAAGACCAGTAGCCCATCGTTCAATTCGTGTTGAATCTGTACTTATTAATCTATATAAAACAATTTTTTTCATGAATTTTAAATTTCCAAAAAACAAAATGTCTACTGTAAAGATTTTTCAATTGCTAAATATTCATCAGCAGTTTTAAAATTTCGTTCATTTATATTTTTTAAATAAGTACGAATTTGAGAAAACTGCAGCTGAAGAAATGATATATGTGTTTGACTTATATGGAACATTCGAATACCAGTTGAATCTTCTTCATGTCTCTAGTGAAAAGTTTTACAAATAAAAAAAGATTTAAAAAAAATATATATCATTTTTTTTACTTCGATTCTATCGATAGAGCTAGATGACGTTGGTGGTTCGCAACTGAATTCATCAAGTGCATTCTTAAATGTTGCTTTCATATTATCACCACATGACTAAATATATATTTCAAAATAATAAAAAAAAAGGAAATTCTCTATGTCATATGTAATACGAACTGTTCCTTGATAAGTTAAAAAAAATTTAATAATTTCTGTTTCACAAATAGTTGGATGTCGACATACAATTTGAAGATAACGTTTTAATGATCGACGACGTTCTTCAATAAATTCTTTGTCAACTAAAACAAAAACCATTGATTTAATTTATTGAATTATCTTTTTACTAAAGCATAATAATGAACGAGATTATCTAAACAATCAATTTTTTTTTTCATATAGCTACTTAATCAAAATAAAATGAAATCAGAGACCATTAACGGATTTTTTTGGTGGGAGTTGTGGTATTATTCGAAAGGGATATTTTAATGATAATAGTTCATGCAAAGCAACAAAGTCATTATATCGACGTGAAACCTTGTTCTTGTAATGCTGATAGAGAAAGAAAAGAACAATAAGACATAACAACAATATCAACAACAACTATAAAACAACTATAAAACATTTACCATGCTTGTTACTTCGTATTCAAAATGTCGTATAATAACACCTTGAAATAGAGACATAAACAATTTTATATTGTTTGAATAAATCTTTTTTTTAACCTTTTTTCTCAGGTGCAACATTCATTTGAATAGTATCTAATGAACAGAGATCACCATAACGAAAACAGAATATAGCTTTTCCTTGTTCACTACGTAGTATACGAATTAAACGATCTTCTAACTCATTTACAGGGTCTATTGTTGGAATTGGTAATTCTGAAAGAAGAAATATCATCATGTTTATCGTATACTCACGTCTATGCTTTATATAATACCTCGGTTTACATAATTATCAAGTAATTTTTCATCTACAATTTTGCCTTGTTGAGCCAGTGCCATTAATGCTAAACATTTATAACAATCATCACGTGAAGAAATTGAATTTGTCTTTATAACTGCATTCCAAATCTAAATAAAGAAATAAATAAATGAATTGTCTTCTATTTTTTCTTTTTCTCGAAATTCAAACCTGATTTAATATTGTTTTCGTCAATGTATTCGATTCAAATAAAGGTACGAATACAGAAAGTGTTAATTTATCAATACCATGTATATTAATCATTTCAAATAAATTACGATAAATCGATGGAATGGAACCTATATTTAAGTATGAATATGTCTTAAACTTGAATTATAATTTATTTTAATTATAACCTGCACTCAAATCTACCGGCATGGTCGTAAACAAAATAACGCGTTCGATTTGCACTAGGTGTAAAGAAAAATAAAATGAAGAACTTATCTAAAGAGATAAAACCATCTCAATTAAAGCAAACATCTCGATAGAGATCGCTCATTTACGACCTTAATATTCAATGAAAAAATAAAAAAATCTAATAAATTTTCAATATTTATTTCATAAACTAAAACTTTAGCTTTTAGATATAGAATTTTTTTAACAGAATCATAATAAATACAAAAAATCAATATAATTCAATAATGGCTGAATTTCGATGTTGTTTTATTTTATTGCCTTTATTGCGTGATTTTTGACTTTATTTAATTCTATTACGAAACATGATTTCATACTAAACTAGATTGAAGTTTAACCTTTGAGCAACACTCTTCATATAGTTTATTTATTTTTATATTTTTTTTTTCTCGTAAGGTCATTTCTATTTGCTTTGATCAAGCAAATGTATTTTTAAAGAAATAAAAAAACATACAGAAAATTAGCATATGTGTTTTTTTACTAGAATAAGAAATTAATTTGAACTAGTCCTAAAATACAGCAGAATTCATCAATGATAAATGTTTTTATTTATTCGAGAGCATGATATAATAAATGAGTATCATAAATAGGGATTAATTCCGGTACAAAAAAACATTGTGAATCATCTGTATTAATCAGACTTGAAAATTACGTTAGATAATATCATCATTCAATTTAGAAACTAATCTTCACCAGTTGATTAATATAATGACTCCTAGAGTTAGATAAAATGAATATTTTTTTGTTGAATATTTTTAAAACAGCACAACATTTTTCTTTCCTTTATTTACACACACTGAAAAAGTGCTTTAATCAATAGTAAGGACAAATTTTTATATTTATTCGTTAAAAAGAAAATCACTAACCCATAGAATATTTAACAATACAGTTTTAATCAGAATGAAATGTGATTTAATACGCTTAAGAAATTAGAAAAAAAAAACATTGCACAAAGGTTTAGATAAACAATAAAGATTCATAGCATTTCTTTTTATCAAGAAACAAAGTGAACTTTATTCGATAGAATAATATGAATGTTAGGAATATTAATTTTTCATCTATCGTATTGAAAACAAAATTTTGTATAGATGTAAACTTTAAATGGTTTCGTTCGATAATTTATTTTTATGTAAACAAACTACACATTATGGATGTTGTTTTCTCCACATAGAATTAGTTAATCTAAATTTTAATTGTAATAAATAAAAGCTTAAGTCAAATTTTTCTGCGCAATAACAGGTGCAATAGAACAATTAAAATTATAAGCAATCTCGAGCTACTACGCAATATAATATACTCTGTACTAATAATTTATTATATAAGAAACATGCATCAGTTATAATAAAAAAAACAAAAACAAATTCTACATATATAATATTTTTATTTTGAGAAAACAAAAGATATTAAAAACTTATTTATAGTTAAATTAATTATGTAGTTCTATAATCGTATCAAAAACATTAAAGTTAACTTTCTGCAATTATGAAAGAAACACTTTTTTGTTTTGCCACCGATTATTCAAATAAAGAATATCAATATTTATTATTATAAACATATCTTTAGGATTAAATATTTAATCTATTTTTATCCATTTTCTCGACAATTTCAAGAAAACAATAATAGTTCTTGTTTCAACTAAATAATTTATATATCAAAAAAATCAAATGATATATTTAGTGCTAGAAAATATGAATCATCAAGAAATTCAAATAAATTCAGATTTATTTTAAACGTATTGCTTTTGTTAATATCATCGTAAAATCTATGATAAATATCCAACATGATTAGAAAAAGAAAGCAATCTATAGTGACGATACATTTATTTTAGAAAAAACGTGTCTGAAAGAAATGAGCCATTTGTTATTACATATGTTCTGTGAGTGCATTGTTAATAGATTTTAGTCATAGTTTATATTTTACATAGCATAATGCTTATAAATATCAAAACGCATTTTCAGCATAGTATAAGTAAAACTAGTCGATACAAACATGTTTTTTTATTAATTATTAAAATAAAGTAATTTTCTTAGTTAAAAATAGAAAATTCCATGTCTTTTGTTCTTCGATAAAACAAAAAATCGTCAAAAAAAATATCATCAAGCACTCTTTTTTTCATGAAAAAACTATCACGAGAAAAAGGAAGGATGATGCGTTTTTTTTCCTTTTCTGTTCTTCTCGAACAAAATAAAATCTATAAGAACGTACTAGAATATCAATGTTTATGTCAATATGTCATTACATAGTAGTTTCAAAAAAAAAGAACTCTTCTCATATGAAAATAATTCAAATTTATTCTATAAAGAACTATGCGAAAAGGAGGACAATCAGGTTGTTATCATATAAAATGATAACATTTGACGATTTCGATTAAAATGTAGAATATTTTTTTTAATCTTTCTTTTCCTTCATTCTAATTATCATAAATTTAAAATTAATCTATGAAACATTTATCATAAGTGCTAAATTTTAAATGAGCATGGAAAAAAATAATAATAACTTCTTATAACTTGCAAAGGAGAACATGTCGTTGGACTTTTTCTTTTATATTTGCTGTCGTCATCATGTAATAGAAGAAGGAGAAAACAAAAAAAAAAAGAACGAGCGAACGAACGCGGGCAACCGAACGCAGACTATATACGTCGAGCAACAGAACGTCAACAACACATAAGCAGTCACACAACATACAGACATACACACCATCATCACCATTACTGTTAATACTCACAATTATTTTTATTTCGACAAAAATTTTCTTATATATAACGAATGATAGAATTGGAAATTTTTATGATTTTATATTACTTAATTAATTAAAGATCTATTAAATAGAATAGAAAAGAAGTTATATTCATGAGGACGGTTCATGCATATACACCTATGCAACAACAGCAACAAGAACAAGAACAACAACATCAACAACAAACGTCATCATCAACAAATCAACCAAATTTACATCAACATTCATCTACGAGTGGTAAGAATAATTAAATACATCGTTTATTTATTTATTTTTCTATCTTTGATAAAAATAAATAACAACAGCAATAAATAAAAGCTAAAGTTTATCTTGTCTTTTCTTTTCTTTTCGTTTAATAGAAAAAAATAAGTTTTTTCTTTCTTTTTAATAATCAGCTGACTATGAATTTATTTATTATTGATAGGGTATCCAAGTGTACGCCATAGTCTTTTACGTATGCATAGTCAATTACGATCAGCACCTAATGGAAGAGAATCTACACATGGCCCTATTGATTTAAGTCTATATCGTGTTCCACGGCCAGCACCTAAAATGGCAGCACGTTCGACAAGCACAGCAACTACTGCACTTCGTACTGTTACACCATTGGTTACCCCACCTACCCACACTATTTATAGCAATGCTGTACCTTCTTTTACATCATCAAAAACAGCGACATCCATTAATAATCAAGAACAAAATATAAAAAGTAAGTTTCACATATACGTAGATGATACTTCCAACTTTGATGGGGAAAAAATCTAACCTTTATATTCTTGATAACAAACATACATTGTTTTTTAATTTTTCAGTGCAAAATTCATGTTCAACTAGTGTTATGTCAAAATGTTCTTATTCTCGTCCTGTTCCTGTTCCTTCACCAAAATTAGCTTATTCATATTCGAATATTGAAGAAAATCTACAATGTCCATTATGTATTGATCGTTTACGTGATCCTCGTGCATTACCATGTCAACATGTATTTTGTTGTTCATGTCTTAAATCAATTCCTTCATCTAATATACCCTATCCAACTATAGTTTGTCCATTATGTCGTCGTACATTTCCATATAATGGTGCTGATCAATTTCCTATATCATATATACATCGTCAATTACTTGAATTAGTTCCAAAAAACTATGATATTAATGGTAAATGTACAAAATGTCAAGAAAAAAGTTCATTAATATTATGTTCCTGTTGTGATTTTCTTTTATGTCAAAAATGTTTTATGAATGATCGAGAAAAAATTATCGATAATATTCAACATATTGTTCAAACATGTTATCATCGTCTTAATCGTATTCATACAACACGTGATCAATTAAATGATTTAAATGATATAAATCGTAAAAAAATTCAACAAATTGAATCAATATTTTCAAATTTTGAAAGAAAATTTTTTGAACATAAACAATCAATAATTAATTCATTAAATAAATATAATGAACAAATAACAAATCATTTTTGGTCTAAATTAAATATATCAACACGAAATACAACTGAACCATTTATTGATTTATTAAAACAAGCTGAATTAATTATACAAAAATCTCATGCTATACAATTTGATGATATTGTTTCATTATTTCGTAATTTAAATTCAATTAATGAACAACTTGAATATGCTAATTCATTAATTGATACATATGATGTACAAAATTTATTAAAAAAAACAATACAAATAAATAATAATAATTTCGATGAACAAGCATGTGTACATTTAAATCAAATAGATAGTACAGAAAAAATTCTTCCATTAATGCCATCAACAATGTTACCTCGATCAACAAAACGTTTACGTAAAACTGAACCTAAAAGACATATTGAACAAAATAATAATGAAGAAGAATATGATGATGATGATGATGATGATGATGATAATTTACCAATATTAAAACAAATGAAAGTTGAATATCATAATGATATTAGTTTTGATCCTTCATCATCACCAACAAATTCTATACTTTGCTTAAATTTTTCAAATAATGAACAACAACAAAATGAACTAGATAACGATGATGATATTATTTATATTGAAACAATTCAAGCAAAATCACCGGCAACAATTAGTTTTGAAGAATTATTTCAAATGATTGGTACAGATGAATAAAATTTATCTTATTTTGGACAGAATACTTCTTATAAATTTCATATATATATATATCTATCTGTCTAGTCTAGTGTACCAAGAAAAAAATTATCTGTTTTTCATAACATACTCATATATATATATATTTATATTTATATATACTGATCTATGTGAATTTTACCGTTGTTTTTTTTTTATTATTTATTCAAGGAATATTATAACTGATGTTTTGTGTACATAAAATTTTTTTGTTTGCAAAATCCAATTACACATAAGATGGGATAAAAAACGAGTGACGTTGAAAATTACTACAATGAACAAAAATAAACTGCCTTTGCTTGGATTATAATTTAGTAGTGTAATCAGAAAGCCGTAGGTAATAAGGCAAGTACCGGAGGTTTCTATGGAAGATTCATCTGAGATAGTGTAGATTATGACGATTATTAGTTTTTCATTTTTTTTGTAGTAGAACAAGGGATGAAGGTGGAAGTGTGACTTTCGTATAGTCTACTTTTGGTTACGCCGCTGTTATAATTAATAGAAACTTTTTTATGATAAACTTTTGGCTAGTATTTGTAAATATGTTTATTAAAAATGGTAAGCATAAGATTCAAATTAAGATTTTATTTAATAGAAAAAAGGAAGACCTTTATATTATACATGGATATTACATAAATGATGATAATTTCAATATTGAAAAAGAACAAAACAACCAATTTCCTCCATAATCATTCAAGATAGTTAAAAATTCATTTTTTTAAAAATAATTTCGAACAGGTAACAATGACTAAGAAGAATATGAAACGATCACAATTTCAATCGTATATCCGAATGATTATACTCAGTTCAAAGTACACCGCTAGCTGTATGTCATAGTAACTTTTGGATAGGATATGATTATTTAGCACTTGAATATAAAATGCTTCTAAATGTTCGATCTACTAATTTATTAAAATTTTTTTCATAAAATACTATACAAACTGGATAGATATCTAATGAATACCTGTGGACGGAAAAAATTCTCAGTAGAATATTCAATCGAGATTTTGTAACATACTGGTAATACTGAACAGTTTAAAAGGTATCCTGCTGACAAGTGACCTAGTAGACGAGTACATGGAGCTCAGTACGTTCATTATGACACTCTTTAATATAGAAAAGTAAAATAACATCTAACGAAAAACTCATCATTTGAGAGAATATGCAATCTTGTCAGACATACTTTTTTATGTCTATAATCTTGATGTTTTTATTAAAGATTCTATTAGAAAAAGAAACTACTAGAATTAAAAGAATGTTTAATTATAAATTAGTTTAATGATGAACTTCAAATTATATGTTTAAAGAAGATATTTTTGTCGGTTAATCATTAGTAAGACTTTAATTTTGTTAAACACACAATAAGATTGCAAATTATTATTGCTATTCAAATGTTAGATTGTAAATAAAAATTCAAATCGTTTATGAATAGAAATCTTTTGCTTTCATCTTTTTTTAACTTCAGAATATTTTTTTCACATTTAAAGGAGCATAGTACTCGAAACTCATTTATTTAATGAACTCTTTAGAAGTTCTTAGTATCAAAAGAAAATAATAGAATAATTACTGAATTTCTGACATTGAATTATTAACTTTTGTTAACGACAATAAAGCCGTTTTGATTGGAAAAAAATATGTTTTTTTAGGAAAAGATATTTTTTAAAAGATGATTTCATTGATTTAGAATCATACAAATCATTTTATAAGTTTCTAGGACGTACTCAATATGTGTTAATATAAGACTACTTCTTTTTTCCTTATTAACAACTTATATTTTCGTAGATAAATAAAAGTCTATTTTGTATCTCATGCCGACCTCGGCAATCAAGTATATCGATCTATTCTTTTATTTTTCAAGCGTATAATTAGAAAACCTTGTTTGCAGGAAAATAATATAACATCATTAATCAGCTATATTGATATTTGAATTTTTTTGTCAAAATAATGTGTCTACATTATGGTTTATTCAAGGATATAGTATTCTTTTTTTATTTTTTTTATTTATGATATTACTATAATGGATATTTAATGTGCCATATTTATCATAGCAAATTTTCATCTTTTATAACATGTTTACTATTTATTTATTATATTGAATGACAAAAGAAAGTTAAACAATAATTTTTGATAAAGATAAAATAAAAGAGAAGATACTTTTCGACGGTAGTGATGTAACCAGACAATGGCCAGAAAAGACGAAGCTCTCCTACAAACACTTGAAATTTTCTGATAAAAGAATTTGAGTCTTTTCTAGAGACGCATCACTGGAGACATCTCTATTCCCTCTTCATACATAATCGGTAAACTAAGCACATTCAATAATTTTCTTTTGACTAAATCATTATTTTTCAGAACAATCTTCTCATCAATATATTCATATGTTACTTTTCCATTCACACTAACATAACAAATTCTTTCGAATTTCGAACAATATCCTATGGAATACATTTTAAAATCAAGATTTACTAATAATTTTCAGTTAGCCATACTAATTGAAATTTTATTAATTCTTACTTAGATATTAGTCATTTTCTATTTAAGAATTTTTAATCTTAATATTTATATTGTATAATTATGTCAGTAAAATCAACAGAAAAATAATATACATGAATCAATTGTGATTTTTAAAATAAAAAAGAACTTATATGTTTTTCTTTTATTTAAAAAATAGCGCCATGTTTCTCAAATAAAAACAAGTCTTATTAAATTTACAAAAAAAAAAAAAGAAAACTTCAGAACTGTTCTATTTTCATTTCGCCATATGCATCAATTTCATATAATTCTATAAACATAATTTAATTCAGTATATATCTACTAAGATATTATGAATAATCAAATTTAGTATTATTTAACTTTATATAATGAATGATCTATCGTTTTATTTGGAATATTTCTGATTCGTTTCATATTCGTCACTTAACATTTTTTCTCAATTCTTTCCTAATCTAGTTATTGCAAATTAAGATTACTGTAGTTGAAACTTAACATTCAGATATATTTAAGTTTTATTTGTCCATACCTTCATTATATTTTATTTCTAATTGAACATCCTTGAGCTTCTTTTTCTTGTGCTCGTCATGGAGTGTAACCAGTTTAATATCGGTCTCATTATGAATTAAATATAAACTTGAATGACAATAAGAGACGAATTGGAGATAGAAGAATCGAGAATTAATTAAGCACGAGCCATCTATGCAAAGAAAGAGTTAATTAAGGAATGACTTAGGAGTGAACATTTCATTCTTCTTACAAAAAAAAAACTTGTCTGTAATGAATAACTCATCAAGAGCTAAAAAACCAATGGTTAATTTAGGACTTATCGATGGGTCTAGATCATGAACTCCAGTGGTAAAACGATACGATCCAGAGTCAACATCATGCGCTAGGTGAAGAACTCTTGATACGTCTATTATAGAAAATATTTTACAAAGTATTTCTCAAGTAAGACAACAGAAAAAAAACACAATTGTGTCTTACCCATGGACGAAATTGTAGTGTCACTTTTTCTCAAATTTCATTTCGTTTGCAATTTTTCAAATATTTGTCCATAATCAATGATTAATTACTAATTGGTTAAAACAAAATCATTTTTCTGATGAGTTTATTTTCAGAGAATGAAAAAGTACTATTTATATCTGTGGACAAAAACCTTTCCTCACTATCGGATCTCGGTCGCTAAATGGAATGAAGGTTTGAAGATTTGTATCTCCATATTTCATCGGCAATGGCACAGCACGCATGCCGCCCACGTTAGTAGACATTATATTGTGTTAAAAATATTGTTTATTTTGCTTTGAGTTTGGTAACTCAGGAAGAGGAGGAGGACGTTGTCAATCGAGAAACCTATTCATGATCTAGTGCTATGGTTTCAGCTGAAAATACCATCTATTGCCATTTCGAGGCTCATTATTCAGTAATAGTTCAATATATGAACCTGAAGCTTTTAGTAAAGCTTTCTCTGTATCTTGACATTATTTTCTGTAAATTTCCGACTCAGATTTTATACTCGAGGGATATAACATATGGATGATTATCTAGTTAGTGTCAAGGATTCAAGGATCTTAATATTCGTACAAATAAATTTATCTTTTGAATAAGGAAAGAGCATAGATTGAACTTAAATTTCATTTAAAATTATTGAGAATTAATCATATATATATGATAAGAAAAAAGACAAACTTGACTAGGCATTATTTTAAAATTATCAAGCCTACAACACAAAAATATGATGATAACAGACATCTGATGAGAAGAAAACTTTTGTCTATAGATATTTATCAGAATGAATTTTATGAACCATGAAAAATTGAGATAGCATTAAAGACATATTGTTTATTCAACATTTCATCGTTTTATTTTATTTGCTAATATTTAAAATCATATGAAAAAACAATTTAAATGAATCTAAGTCATAATATAACCGACATTTCATAAATAGATGTCGAGCATAACAATGTCAAGGTCGTCTTCATTATCAAAAATAACTTTTTTACCATAGAGTATTCATTCCCATTGTAAATATGCTTATTTTAAAAGGTTACAACTTGAAATTTTCAAGTGGTACGCGATTAGTTTCATTTGTCTTGTTCATCATGACAAATTCTTCAAGAACAAGAAGAATTTATCTTACATTGATATGACACTATCTTTTGTTGTCCACTTGTCTTCTTGTATGTCATCACAATTTATGCAATACTCTATCCATCTTTTATTGTTCTATTGAAAAAGAAAAAAATCTTAAAGCTCAAAAGAATTTATTAGTAACCTCAAATTAAAAGTTTTATTAACGTCATTGTACAATTAATAAAAAAAATTCATTTGACTTTATTACATTTCTTTATAGTCTTTCAGTAACACTTCAATAATATGTTTTCTTCAACAGTTTGTAAACTTGTTCACAAATAGAATACATCTATGTTTAATAATTGTAAACCAATATTAACACAAGAAAAAGAAACGAAGAGAATTAGACCAATTTAATC